GGCTCTGGAGGCTCTGCTGGAGTTGCCTGAGCATCGCTGGCCAGAAGAGAGGGTGGAGGGCAGCATTTCAGGGGAGCCAAAGGCCCCCCCATCTGGGCTGTGAGGCGAGAACCTGGCCCATAGCGAGGCTTCTGGGTTCTCGTGCGACGCTAGGTCTCCGTGGCCATGGCCGCGCAGGCACGGATGCCAGAGCAGGCCCAGCCGAGCCAGAGCCTGCCAACGGGGCGCGGTGCAAGCGCAAGCGAAGACCTTCATGCAGCGGTAAGGACACACCACCAGCCGTTCCTCTTCTGGAAAACCTTGGGAGCAGGGCGCAGAAAGCATGCAGAGAGCCATCAGGGCTGCTTCTGAGCTCGTCCTACTTTCACTTCTGGGATTAGACACATCTGAGCCAAAAAACCACCTTCAGAAGCACAATCTCTCCAGCTAGATTTTTAATGGACCGCTGGAATCCCTTCAGTCAACTGCGTGACCTTACTGAAAAAAGTTCTCAGAAATAACGGATCAAAATATTTCTTAAAAACCATAAAGATCGGAGATAGACAGAAAGCACTAGTAGGAAACATCTCCGAATGTGGACCGGCGTGTTTGAAGTCAGCAGACCAAGGGGCCACACTTCATGTCAAAAGAAAACTTGCTCGCTCCATGTGCTCGCTCCGTCTGCCTGTAAGCTTGGCAGTGACCGACAGAGGGGGACAGGCTTTCCGCCCCTCCCCCGCCCCCGGACGCTGAATTGACCCCACACTGCTGAGTGTCAGCACCACAGCTTGGCCATGGCCTCAGCTTCTTTCATTTATATGCTTTAATAAGACAGCTAAAAAACATGGTGAAAAAAGAAGAAAAGTCCCCTGTAAACGCGTTCCCACCCTCCCTTCCTCCTCTGCATCTGGACCACCGACAGCCCCAGCTGGAATGAGCGTGTGTGCCGGTCTGCTTTTCAGGTTTGTTTCCTTGGAGAGCCTCTCAGACGTTCCCCACTGTCTCACTGTTCATGGACACACGCGCCAGGCATTCTCGACATGTCCTGCTTCTTACCACACTGGACAACCTCAGGCAGATGGGTGTTTTGTGTTTGTTGAATAACTTCCTCAGGAGAGATCACAGGGATAGGGGACAAATGGACGGAACATGTCTGTCTCCCAAGGCTTCAGAAAGGGAGCATTAGGACAGGGGCAGGCAGCGAAGCCCACAGACCACTGGCGCCCATGGGACACAGACCTGCTTTCAGGGCTTCCCCTGGGGGAAAAGCTGCCTGGTCATCAAACCGCAAGCACAGTTATCACCTGGATCTTGTCTCGCCCCTCAGGGCTGTGTGGCTTATTCCCCAAGTCCCATGTGCTTGTTGGCAAGTTTATCCTCTCCTCTAAGGACAAAGGAAGCACCCAGAAAACAAGCCCCTCTCCTTCACTTAGCTGAGAAGAGAGCTTTGGGGCCTACCTGGAAATATTGCCTCAAGAAGATGGGCCAGTTAACAGGTGTGGTAGGTGGAATAATGGCCCCAGAGACATCCACATCCTAGTCCCAGGAACCTGTGAATATGTTAGGTAACGTGGCCCAGGGGAAGTACGGCTGCCAACCAGCCGCCTCTAAGCTAGGGACAGTATCCTGCAGTATCCACGTGGGCCCAGTGTACTCACAAGGGCACTGAAGGAGGTGCTAGAAGGTCAGCATGATACCATGTGAGAGGAGCCTGACTGGCTGCCGGCCCCTCAGGGGAGAGAGGGGCCACAAGCAGGGAGGGCAATCAGCCTGTAGGAGCGGGAGACGGCAAGGACATGGATGCCCCCCCAGAGGCTCCAGAAGGAACCACTCCTGCTGACACCTTGACTGTAGCCAGTGAGACCCATGTGGGACGTCTGAACTACACAGCTATAAGGTAAGAAACCTGTCGTTTGAAGCCACCAATTTTGTGGAAATTTGTTACAGCAGCGACAGGACACAAGAACACAGATAGAAACAGAAATCGGTAAAAGAGGATGTGCGCCGTCCTCCCTCAGCCCGGGGAGGGAGGGCTCGGGATGCTCATCTGGAGACGCCCTGGTTTGAACACTCTGGGAAGACGAGGGTGGGAAGGGGGTCGCTGAGTGGCACGCGACTGGCTGTGGGGGGCTGTCCCGCAGCGCCGGTCACTACAGCCGAGCTGAGGGCGCTGCCTTCCAGGACGATCTCACTGCCCTCGGAGGTAGTGGCAGAGGCCACGCCTGCCCCCAGCTGCGCGTCACTCAACCCGTCTGGGTACCTACGTGTGTCCGCCAAGCGGAGGGGTCATGACTCGGGGCTTCTCAGAAGCCTTCCCTCAAGCCACGGGAGCGTACACCGTGTGCTGGATGCTATCTAAAGTCCGTGACTCATCAGGCATCAAGTAACGGGGCTAAGAAAAGCCCTCCCCTGAGTTCATCTCCCCTCAACGGAGACAAACAATTGCTTAAGGTTTCTGAACTACCCAGGCGCTCACAGAGCCGGCTCCACAGATCGGCTCCCCTTCTACACGTTAGTGCCTTGTGAGTCTTCAGTCATCAAGGAGGGAGCGGCCCTGAGGCCCAGAGCCATGAACTCTGTGGAAGGTGTGACCAGGAAAGGAGAGTGGAGATCCAGAATTCCTTCCCTCTTGTCCTGTGTGTCCCCAGGTAGCTGCGGCCCCGCTGGTGCTGTTCCCACTGAGACCAGGAGCTCCTGCTCCCAGACAGCAGGGGCCAGGCGTGAAGGAGTGGGGGGAGACCTGCTGTTGCCCCTTAACCCTGGTGTGGTAAGGCCTGAGGAAGGCGCTCTTCCTGAAGCCTTGTGCAGGCCACAGCCAGCTGCTTCCCTGGGCATACAAAGTGAAGGGCCAATTCGTTTGTGCTCGCAGAGTGGGAGGGCAGCTTCCTAACCAGGCCCTTGTCCTGGGGGTCTGAGGAGAGGGGAGGGGGTCTAAGATGAGCCAGCAGTCACAGGTCACCTGTTTTAAGGCGAGTGAGGATGGTTCCTGGTGACTGCACGCGCCCGATGCTGGTGGGGAGCCAGCCTCCAGTCAGGAGACAGTAAGGCAACTTGGCCCTGGGGTGGGGGATGGACAGCCCCTGTAGCGAGACGGCCCAATGACAGGACAAGCACAGACACGCAGCAGCAGAGGGCCACCTTCCTACCGACCTCCTCCCGAACTGAGAGCCGTCCCCATTTCTCTAACGAGGGGGGCAGGTCGTGTGGGCTCGGTGAGAAGCCTGGCAGAGCGGGGTAGCCTTAGAGCCTGCAGGGAGTGCGAGCGGTGCCCTCCGGCGGACCTCCCTGTGTCTCAGGTCTCTCGGCTCCTGCCATCAAGTGGCAGTGGTGTGCACACCTTCACGCCTCAGATGGGTGGCACTGACACTAGCCAGGGCATGGTGTTCAGGCCCCAGAACCAGCCCCACCACCACACAGAGGAGACAGAAACCAGCTCCTGAACCTTCAAATCCACTGGCCTGGAGAGCTGACCGGGGCAAGGAGCAGGGTGCCCCTCCCCCCCAAGACCCCCACCCAATGTCCGCGCTACATTACCATATTCGCCAAATCGCAGGGACTCCCACTGCTGCCACTCCACCAAGACGCTGACGGCGCGCACCCCCACGTAGATGAGCAGCATGCCCACGGTGGCGTCCAGGAGGAAGTTGATGAGGTACCTGGGAGAGCAGCACACAGCAGCGCCGTCAGGAAGCACCAGCCGGGCAGCAAGGGCCCCTGAGCCCGGCCCTGTGTGCTTACCAGGGCCACCTTCAAGCCGGATGACCCAGCACTTCGGCCTGTTCTGGGGGGCCCGTGCAAGAGGCTGCGGGGCTCCCTCCCAGGACCCATGATAGCGTGCTGACACTCATCGGGTCAAAGAACTTGAGGGAGGGGTGGACAAGGGACAAAGAAACTTGAAAGACCTCCAACGCTCCCACCAAATGAAGACCTGACACAAGACACAGTGCCTGGAAGCAGCAAGGACGTCAAGAGGGAAACAGAACTGAATTCATTAAAAGAAATCTGCTCCATGACGCTGTTCACACCCTCAGCCCCAATACTGTTCCAGGGCAGCTCAGGACACGGCTTCTGGGGTTTCTTAGACCAAAGAGGGCAGGGCCACGGGGCTCTCGCTCATCCCTGTGTTTCAGAGCCTGCCATGGAGGCAAGCGTATTTCTAGAGAGAGCTTTATTCCCATGGAAAAGGCAGGATGATGGAAGGAGAGAGGGGTCAGCAGAGCTCTCCCACCTCGATCCTGTGTTCTCATAAGGTCTGTTTCCATGTGTCTGACACACACCTCCTCCCTCACCAAGGAGAGGCCCCCCTTGAGCGCCCTGTCCCTGGATCTTGCCGGACACCCTGGTCACACGCGCCAGTGCTCCAGACCAAGTAGGAGACAGGCCGTCACTGGGTCAGGTACCGGCCCCCGGGGACGCCAAGTGGCTCAGAAAGCCCTCAAAACACTTTCAGATGCCACAGACCAACTGCGGTGCTTTCCAGCTGCCGAGGCCGGAGACATTTCATGCAGACTCGCAGCCCCCACCTAAAGACCGAGGCTTTGGTGCCAGGCACACACTGACAGGGGAAGGAGCACGTCCTGCTTGGCGGGTGCTCACGGCCCCATGGTGCCCTGGCGGGGCCAGGAAACCAGAAGGGCGGACAGCCGTGTCTCCCGCCTGCCCTTCCTCCTTAACATCACAAGGGGTCACTCTCAGACCAGAGACCGAGGCAGAGCAGCCGTCCAAGGCAACGTCTGCAAGTTCTCAGCTGGCCCTCGCCTAAGCTGCTCTCAGACGCGTACATCTAATTGGTTTCAAGTGGTTCTCACAGCTGAGGCTCGCCCTGGAAGCCACAAGAACACCTGACAGACACACGTCAGTTCATTCATCCCCTCACCAAATATTTATGCCGACTGTGCGCCAGGCCCTGGGGCTAAAGACGGAAAGCTCTCTACACTCTACCCAACACAGATGAGGCCGGCGGATTGGCCGGCTTCAGATCCCAGCTCCATCACCATGAAGCCGTGTGAATTGAAGTTCCCTCCTCTCTCTGTGCCTCGGTTCCCCAAGCTGTAAAATGACGATAACCAAATTATAGGGCTAAACTGTAGGGCTGTTATCAGGATCAAATGAGTCAGTACGTGTGAACAACGCCTACACGTAGTAGGCACTATACAAATGTGTGGTTTGAATCATGGCCCCTCAGAGTCACAGAACCCTGGATGTCACAGAAGCTTAACTCCCTCCCAAAGCTGTCGGGACGGAACAAGGAGCAGAGCCCCCAGCCCAGGGGACCCCTGCAGCCACAGGGGGCAGCTCTTCCCCTCTGTAAGTTTCTCCTCTCCCAGAGCTGAAGCTGGCTTCCCTTCCGGTCTGCAGATTCCCAAGATGCCTCCAGGCCAGCCCAGCCCAGCCCATCCCCCACCTGTAAAAAGTCACAGGGCAAAGCCAGGACAGCAGGACCTGGAAGAGATGGCAGGGCCCGGGCGCCCTCCACTCCCCAAGCACCACCTGCTCTCCTACCCACTGCTGGGGCTCTCACACCTTTCCTAACTTTTAACAACATCCTCCAGCTGAACTGTTAACTCCCTCACCAAGACGTGAGCCTATGGTTTCCAGTGGTGCTTATACTCAACAACTCCTGAAACCTTCACAGGAATCCTGGGCATGCGGACACAGGACAGGGGAGCAAAGTGGGGCTCAGTCTGGCCTCTCAGCCAAGTGCCTTCACCATACCAAGCTCCACCTTGGGCCCTTTCTCCTCCAGGCTGAGCACTCGAGATCTGTCAACAGCCCCTTCTCCATCCTTGCTATGATTCAGTTTGCCAACGTCCTTCTTAAAGCTATATCGTCTTCTTTTTGCAGCCGGGCAACGGAGGTGCTGCAGGGGAGAGCCACACGGCCGAGGCTGCACCAGGAGTGAGGTTAGTGCGTCCGGCGCCAGCCTGCCTCTTAGTCTATCCCGGTCAACAAGACGGACATCTATCCCGGACATCAAGACGTATTCACCAGGGGATGACTCCAGCCTGCTGGGGGCTCAAGAGTTGGAAAGACAACCATCTCCCAACCATCTCCCCTATGGGACGATCACCTTTCCTTCCAGTCCCCCACTTTGGGACTACACCCAAACACCCAAACAGATCATAACCTTTCCAGGTCTCAGAGAAAGACTCTGGGCAGGGAGACTTCATAACTTCCTTCTGAAATCTGGGCCTGGACTAAATGTGCACAGTCACCAAAAAAGGAGGCTTAAAAGAATCTTCCAGTCCAAATGATCTCAAATATACACGAAGCCTCTTGGCAAGGGACTCACGAGCCCCCGCCGTGCTCTCTCAAAGGCAGGGCAGGACGGCGGTGGGGGTGTTCCAGGCAGAGGGCAGCGTGAGCAAAGGCACAGAAGGAGGAGACAGCTGGTGGGGTTGAAGGCCTCCAGCACAGCATGACTGGAGCAACAAGTCTGAGCCAGGAAGGTAAGAGATGGAGCTGGGATAGGGCAGGTGAGCCTCCTTTTCCACTCCATCTGGGGTTTCGGTCAGATTGCACAGGGTGGGGGGCTGTGTGGAAGGCACACTGCAGTGATGAGCCAGAACCACCCATGATCTTCAGGTCAAAGAGATCGATGCTGGTCAACAATGGCTTTGACCCCGAGTGTCTGGCACCCCAGAGAAGCCCCCCGTGTGTCCTGTTCTAGCAGAGATATTCCTTTAGGGCACTATGCTGCCCCGCTAGGGGCCACCCCCTGCCGGGAGGCATAAAGCTACTAGAACACCATGGGCCAGAGCTTGGATGAGCAGAGAGCCAGCGCACAGGGCAACTGGCAGCAGGCAAAGCCCTAAGAGGCAGCTGACAGCTGTGTATGTGAACCCACAGGCAGCACAGAGAGGACGGGCTCTCAGGGGAGCACAGAGCACAAAAAGCGGGGGTTGCCCCCTCCCCAGGCTAGAGGGAACAGGACTGGTGGCAGAAAGCAAGGCCAGTCTACATTCGCGGCGGAGGGGTGGGTGATGTTTGTCCTCGAATACGGGCCACTTACAGTGAACAAGGGTCCTCTTCAGTGAGATCTGCTAGGTACACATTTGCAAAGTGGATGAACAGCATTCCTATGGCTTGTTTGGAAGTGTCTAAAAACCTGTACGAAATAGGAGCAGCACTTGTTACCATCCTGACAGGAGGGTTATATCTAATTTGGGGAAAATGAGAAGTCTGAAACAGGAAGAAAGCCACCGGGAGCTCTCAACCTTCCCTTTACTAGTCGCCTCTTTCTGGGGCGTTGGTACTAACTCAGCCTTGGCGCCTCAGCGACCTTTCAAAACCTTCAACAACACTGCATCTGAGCTCCCTAAGAGGCCCCTGATTTAGAACACATATTTAGGGGCGCCTGGGTGGCTCAGTCGTTAAGCGTCTGCCTTCGGCTCAGGTCACGATCCCAGGGTCCTGGGATTGAGCCCCGCATCGGGCTCCCTGCTCAGCGGGAAGCCTGCTTCTCCCTCTCCCACTCCCCCTGCTTGTGTTCCCTCTCTCGCTGTCTCTCTGTCAAATAAATAAATAAATCTTAAAAAAAAAAAAAACCACATATTTAAACACATTAAACACACGTTTAAATTAGGTGTTTACTTTTTCACTTTTTGTCATTTCAAAATGAAATGCTGACCACAGCTTTTGACGAAGTCGAAGGCGCCTCTATTTTAAAGAGCTCCCACTGGCGCCCCCCCGAGCTAAAGGCCGTCTGTGCAAGACTAACAAGACGCACAGATCCAGCCCCGCGGCTGAAGCCCCAGAGACTTCCAGCTGTTGCCATTTAAGCCCTGTGCTACATCGGGCCAGGCAAACTTCTTCTGTAAAGGGTCAGAGGGTAAGTATCTTCGGCTCGCAGCAACCCATCATCCTGCCACTGCGTGTGAAAGTGGCCACAGAGCCCGCCATTCCTCTCACAATTCAGTTAAGAAAATGGACAGCAGCCTGTGGGCTGTAGTCTGCCAACTCTTGGGCAGGAGTTTCAAAAAAGAAAAGAAACAAGGGTGCTAGTTCTGGGGACCCTCTGCTGCCCTGTCCGGAGGGGGCCTTAAGTTCCTCGTCTGCCATGCACACCTGGAGACCGCTGGTGGTCTGTGGCTGAGGAACCTCTGTACTGGGGCCATTTCTCCTGGCCTCCCAGGCTGGGCATCCAGGGTTGGGCCGGACCACTGAAGGGGGTCATGAAGGGGCACATGGGCACGGGACAGCAGGACGGGGTCTCAGGACTGAATGGACCTTAGAGATTATCCAGACCAACCCTATGACTGAAGCTTAAAAATCATTTCCTAGGGCGCCTGGGTGGCTCAGTTGGTTAAGCGACTGCCTTCGGCCCAGGTCATGATCCTGGAGTCCCGGGATCGAGTCCCGCATCGGGCTCCCTGCTCGTCGGGGAGTCTGCTTCTCCCTCTGACCCTCCTCCCTCTCATGCTCTCTGTCTCTCATTCTCTCTCTCAAATAAATAAACAAAATCTTTAAAAAAAAAAAAATCATTTCCTAAAATAATGGCAAAGTAGAAGTCCCCAGAGGGCAATGTGTGTCCCACAGAGTGCCCCAATTCCAGACCCTCCCCAGGTCCCCCGGCCCAAGCCAGATACCGAGATTCGAGAGAAACTGATTGGGGAAAATAAAAATAAGCCTCAACATTCACAAATAATGCACTGAAGATCAATCAAGCATATGCTCAAAATGCTGTAAAGGGCCTTTAACACACTGATTTATCTGAAGTCTTCTCTGCAGGGGGAAATGGCTGTTTTATTAGCACAGCTGCAAGCCTAAGGCAACCCAAGAGAGTCCGCGTCTTGTGGACATGATGTTGTCCTGAAGAGCTAGCTGTCTGCCTTTTTCCGGAATTCTGTCTTTGAAGGCGGTGTCTGAAGTTCTACCACCCTTTTATGAAGGACAAACTGCCACCATGGGGTCATCCTAGGACCAGGGAAGATGAGTTTTGGGGAGAGGAGCATTCACATGGTGTATCTGACGCATCTCCAGATTTAGAGAATGTTTTGCTTACACACACAGACTACAGAACCCAAGGATTTCCCACAACCTAACAACAAGGAGACATAATTAAAGAGAATAAAGAATAAAGGCAGAGCTCAACATTATCTAGAGGAACTTCTAGAAGTCTTTCGTATTAGATGTAGTTCCTGATGATTAATTCAACTAAGGGATTCCAACACTTTATGCGATGCAGAATCGCTCCCATTGCCCCCCACCCTGCAAACCCCAAAGAATCCACAGCATTGTAGGAAGGTGTTAATATATACATACGCACCATATCCTCCACGGCCGTCTCTCGTGCTTTGGTTCTCTGAAGCGCTTGACTGGAAGAAAACACACACACTCAGCGGCTTGCCACAGTGACAGCAAAGCAAAATGCATACAAGGAGGGTTATCAGCACACTCGGGGCTGACCCTCTGAGTTAAGGTCCCTGCTCTTTTAACATGTGACAATATACACTAAGGTCACAGAGGCCCTGAGCTGCTGGTCTGACCAGTGCAGCCTCTTCAGAACTGGACACTTAGGAAGAACGATACCTCACAGTGTGTGGAAAACTATTTTCTTCTCCTTTGTGACGAGGTTCTCTCAGAGAGGGCCTGGAGACCACAAAGTGGAACGCAGCTACTTCCAGCTTCAGGATATGCTCCACACCCAATGACACGTCCATACAGCCCCCTACCCACCCCGCCCAAATAGTGACTCGGCACCCACTCCAAGCCCAGCACTGAGGAGACAAAGGCAACAGCAGGTGTCCGGCAGGAGAGCAGGCCCGTAACCATCTAGTGAGGCAAGTGCCAGGGGACAGGTATGTCTGAGGCAGGGTGAGGGCACAAGGGAAGAAGGACCACCCCCGGCTGCCTGCAAGGACATGGGTCAGGACAGGCTGCACTGGGCTGGGGGGGGGAGGGGGGGCGGGGTACAGAGCACACACAAGCTCACAGGGACAGGGACATAACATGGCAGACAAACTGAGCAGGAGCCACGTGACGGAAGGTCTTGAATGCCAGGCTAAGGAGTCTGGAAGGAACCCCGTAGGGAAGGGAAAGCCGGGACAGAGTGCTAGGCAGAGTCAAAGACATGGTCGGAACTGTGTTTTAGACAAATGGCTCTGAATCATGTAGATGGTGGGTTTCTGGGGCTGGAGAAAATGCTGGCTGAGCCCCAGTACCAGGCAGAGGGGGCACCCCGCTACAGCTCAGCCAGTGGGGGTGGGGTGCTCCTTCAGCCACAGGCCGACCTCAGATGGCAGAGGACTGCCCAGACTGACACCCTCACCTCGGGTCTGCAGATGCAACCCCACGCAGACTGTCTCCACAAGTCTACCCACGAAAACAAGCCCTGAAAGAGCTGCTGCCCCTCACAAAAGCACCAAGGAAGAGATGCACCAATGCAGGCCCACAGAGGATGCCTCGTTCCTACGGGCAGGAGGCGAGAACCGACTTCTGGCAGAGCCCCGAGCTGCCAGTGAGGGTGCAGGAGGAGGAGGAGACGGGGAGGCAGACCTTGGTGCCCAAATTGATGGACCCTGCTTCTCTAAATGCAAACAAGCTGTCTGCAGTTTGCAAAGCGAGAGCTGTCTGTATACAGAAACAAAACAGGTCTTGTGTTCAGAGACATTTCGATTGACCAAAAAGCAGGAGGAACTGTAAGGAGGTCTGTCATTCCGTTGATATATCACAGATCCAAAATATGAACAGGGTCAAAGGATCCGGAGGTGGGGCCAAGAGGTTCTGCTCGCCCAAATGGTTCTCAAAGGCAGGGGGCCTCCTCCCCACAAGTATGCACGTCTCACGGGGCACTTGGGAAGGAGACGCAGAGGAAACTGGGCCAGGACAAAACCATCTGGAGGGAAAGCCCCAGTTAGGACCAGAGCCCCGTCATGCACATTGGTGCTTCTGCCTCCTCAGGGGAATCTGTCCCCGTCAGCATAAAATAAACACAACCTGAGGAGAACGTCCTCATTCTGAGGAGACACATGCTGAAGTACCAGAGTGGCTGCAATTCACCTGCAACTGGTTTAGGAAAAAAAAACTACACAATATATATTACAATTATATAAAGTAACTATATGATAAATGGTATAATACATAAGAAGTAATAAATACAATATCAGCTATTATATAATACACCTATTATTTATATTAACACGATCTATAATATAGAAAGAGAAGCAAATGTGGTGTTATGGTCCTAACCCTCAGGACCTCAGAATGTGGCTGTAGTTTGGAGACAAAGTCTTTACGGAGGTAATTAAGGTAAAATGAGGTCATATGGGTGGGTCCTAATTCAGCATGACTGGTGTCCTTATAAGAAGAGATTAGAACCCACACAGATGGACGGGCAACCATGTGAGCACCAGGTGAGAAGGTGTCATCTGCAAGCCGAGGGAGAAAGGACCTGGAAGAATCCAACCCTGCCCACACCTTGACCTGGGACTTACAGCCTCCAGACCCGTGAGAAAAGAAAGTTCTGGTGTTCGAGCCACCCAGTCTGTGGTACTGTATGGCAGCCCCAGCAAACTAACACATGGGGCAATATAATAATCGGAGAACCGAGATGAAGGATATTTGAGTATTCATTAAATGACTAGTTAAACTTTTCTGTAGGTTTAACACTTTTTTTTGAAATAAAAAGTTGGGAGGAAAACATACTGTAAACGGCATGCACGAGTACAGCCATTCGGAGGTCCATCTGGCAATATCAATCAAAATTTTCAGTGCCCAGGCCCCCTTTTTTTTTTTTTTAGATTTTATTTATTTATTTGACAGAGAGAGAGCGAGAGAGGGAA